AATAAATAATAATAATAATAATAATAATAATAATTACTTTTTCCTCAAACTGAAGAACATTTTTCAGTATAAAAATACAGTGAGTAATTTTAGCATACTGAAGAAAACTGGAGTAACTTGCCACACCATTTTTTTCCCCACTGTGACCCCAAAGTTCTGGTGACAGCAGATGACAATACCTATCTTGCTCTTACATCTGTCACTACAGGAGGCCTTGAAGCAGATCATCATTCAAGTAATAATCATTATTGTGCCATATAAGGAGAAGGAAAAACCCTGTACTGCGACACAGGCTAGAGATTTACTGTTTCAGTATGAATATAACCATCTTTCAGTATCTTCCCGTATTACCACTACTGTATTACATAACTAATCAATATTGCCCAGAGGAAACAATTAAAAAATATAACAACATCGTATGCCAAAACCACCCCTCACATTTAAATGCTATGCTCACAAAGATAAATAACAGGAAGGAGGGAGACTAAAAGAGCTGGGTGTTAAGCAGGATGAGAACTATTGCAAGAGGCACACATCATCAGCTAGATACCGCTCTCCTGCGGCTTTTCAATACTGAGAAAGGAAAGATGCTACCAGTAGACAACCACTAGAGATAGAAATCTCCAAGGGCACAGCTTTGCTGTTGAAAAGTCTTCTGTTAGTATAAACTAACAGACTATACAGATTTTCCTTTCACCACTCTTCTCCTTCTAATTATATCAAGCATAAAACAGAAATTTTAATTTTCAAGGCCTTGTAATAATTCTTTTACTATGAATTTTCTGTTATCCACTGACAGGATGTTTGTGCTGTGTGCATTATTCTGTGCCAGCTGTGGAACTGAAACAGAAGAATAAAGAAGAAAATGGAGATCCAAATACAGTGGGGCTGAAAGTGGATGTTTGTCATTGTTGATGTTCTTCTTTAAATCAGAAAGATTCAGCATTTTGAGCAAGATAACTTAGCTCCACGCACCTCCATGCTACATCAGCCAGATTGCTTCCAGAAGCCCAGCCAGCTCAGGTATCTCAGTGATACAGTAATACAACCTCTCTCTCTTTCTTTGTACTCCTTCCCCACCCTCTCCTTATTTGTTTCCATCTGTTAAATATCTTACATTCAAACTGCAAGCTCTTTGGAGCTGGGGCTGTCCTTTTGTTCCAAGTTTCCTGAAGACCAAAAGCCATGACTCAGGTTCCTCAGGTGCTGCACACACACTAATTAATAAGACAATAACCCTGAAGCAAATGGAGAGCTCATGAAGTTGTTCAAATGTTCAGTAGCTAAGCAGGTAGGCAATACATGCTAATGCCTGGAAACCAGCAGGGCGTGGAGAAGGACTGAGAGCAGGACTGAGGTCAACAGAGGTGGAGACAGTATTGCAGGTGAAGAATTTTCAGGATAAAGAGTTAAAACAAAAGTAAACAGGCAAAAGAATGGAGGTAGCAGTATACATATCTGGTAACACAGAGAATAGGAGTAAAGTCGATGACCAAGGTAAGCCCACAGTTATTGACATGGGAGATACATGAGAAAAAAGATTCACCAAAAAAAAGCATATACACATACCTGTAAACCATTTCATTAGGAGCCGTGTCATCAAAGGCATAATCAAAACGAAAAGTTTGGTTTTCTAGGTACCTTGTTAAATCCACCTTTTGTTTTGGCTCATGTACCATCACAACATCTTTACTAGGAATTGTTATTACATCAAGGTCTTTCATTAAAGTTTCTATAAAATAAATGAAATATATATATTTAACTAGCAACACATCATTATATTTTACATTTTTTCATTGTTTACACTCTTACAACATCTCAGATAACACAGCTCCTCCAAGTAACAACACTGCAATGGATTTGGGCTTCTGATACCTAGATAGTAATCTGCAAAGTAAAGGCTTTAATTTTGGAAGTCTAGTCATCCTATCCTCCCAATTGCTAGAAATTAAAGAGAGATTGTACAAAGTTGATTAGAAAAATTAAGATCATTAATTATAGCACTATCATTGTAGCTTGTTGTCTATTCTATAATACTTTCCACAGATTTGAGTCTTTTTCCTCAGGGCTTCTATACTGTTTTACAGATTACTGCCATATGCTTTGAGTTTTTGTAATAACTTCTCTATTGGAGAAACTGGACACTGAAGTCCTATACTGCTTGGACTATCAAACTTAAAACCACAAAGAAATTAATATCCTTAAAATAATCTGCTTTATTTTAAAATTTTGTCTTTTTATTTTCCCTAAATCCTTAACATTATAGTCATATGTTCACAGCTTTCAAAAAGAAAAATTTTGCTTTCATTCTACACAGACATTTTCATTTGTGTATTCTTCCTGGAACCCAAACTAAACACCTTTAATATAGAATTTCTCTAAAGTAAAATCCTTTCTAAAAATTATCTTCTAAGTAGTAAAATCTGGAAATGCTAATGATCCTTCCTATCACTGGGAATGAACAAAAGCCATCTAGATGTCCTTTCAATAGCAAGTTCCCAGGTTATAATTACTACACAGCACTATAATTTATTGCTAATTGTTGTATGAGATAGAATCAGCAAAACAGAGAACCCAGTGATCCATGACATGCACAAAAATAAAGATCCTTTGTGTGTACAGTCAGGATCCTAATGTGTCCTACTTGCATTTCTATGTAAAATTTCTTAAGGCATGCAGTTCAAGAATTTGATGTGGCTTTATACAATCAGACAGAAATCTTTTCATCAGTTAACATACTGATCAAACAGTACAATGGTTACCATTGCATGACATTACCCACGAACAGAAATATGCATTCAAGTCACTATATAATCAATTTTTCAACTGCACTGCAATAAAATAAAATTATTCTGCAGTAATCACAGAGAAGAAATAAGGAACAGTGGTGAAAGGAGATATATGAAGGTTAATTCTTTGCAGGAAAAGCTTTTTAGTTTAAGCAGTCAAAAGCTGATTTTTCTTAAACAATTGTTTGGAATAAGACATTTACCTGCTCCCAGTTATTTGTTATGACGACCTGTATTCCTTGCTGATGAAAATTTGGAATAGTGTCTCTGAAACCCACCATACATTTCTCAATTATATATGACTGAAATAAAATCTTAAAATGTCCATCTGAACACCATTCCATAGAATGATTGGTGCTAAGAACACTAAAGATTTTGGTGATAATTCTGTGTTTGTGAGACTGACAAAACTAACTATTTTTACTTTTTCTCTTCAGGGGCTTACAGACTAGTATTTCTCATTCTTTTATACTCCTCAATTTTAAAATGTGGCATGAGAAATACTGTTTCTTATAAAGTGTGTGTTTTCAGAATATTGTATCATGTGGGTATTAGATTATCTCTATGGTTCATCCCCTGTGTAGAATATTTCATTAATACCTTTTTACTATAGCTTATTCTTAAAAATGCAAAATAACTTTAGTGCCAACCTCATTTTTACTTAGACACTCATCTTCCTACAAACACCTCTGAAATATTTTTTTAATAGCTCCAAACTGCTAATGCCTAAGATATGCAACTTTCACAAAATCAAATCCTACTTCTGAATCCCGATTCATGTCCCACAACTTGCTCTCATTTACTGTAATTTCACTTTGTCTACCTTTAGCACAGGTAGAAGGTGACGTTCCCCCAAAATGTATCAGATTTCTAAGTCATATTTTATTAAAGATAACCTCCAATGCTGAAACAGAAATTCAACTGCTACCAGACTTGTATGTTGAATGCCCTTATTAAATAGGTTGTGCAAAATAGTTTCAATTAACCAGTTTTTGAGATTACGCATTCCTTTCAGATCACTAGAAGAAAAACATACAAGGAATAAGAAAAGAGTAAAAGTAAAAATGAAG